TTTAGTTTGTGCCTTCCCCCTTAAATTAGGTCTCAAACCAGTGAATGAATCTTCAAGATAAATAACTCTAACACATGGCTATTCAACTAAATTGCTCAGGGCCACAGTTACTGAAAGCCAAGAGCTCAGGGGCCAGGCATCCAGCAGTTATTGTGACTAAATAAGTTTGTTTTATTGTTTAAAATCTAGTTTTAACTTAAAATGAACCCATTCAGAGTCAGATAGTCAAAGTCAGAGTTTCTTTATTTGTCATTCGCACCACATGTGGTACATGTGGTGGAACAAAATTGTGTACACAGGGTCCCCGTTACATCCAACAAATTATAATTGTAAAAGAAAAACAGAAATAAGATCTAAGGTATGAACTAAGAAAAATGTTAACTAAAAATATGCTAAGCACTAGTAGTACAGAAACAATACGCCAAACAACAGCAGCATGAACATGAGTCTGTGTGAGCAGATGAGTACGAATGAACACAGCAACATAAAATAAATCAGTAGCAGCATGATGTATTTTTTTTCACAGTGATTATTCTAGTTAGAGATTCATGAGTCTAACAGCCTCAGGGTAGAAGCTGTTCCTCAGTCTAGTGGTTCTACACTTAATGCTCCTCAACCTCCTTCCTGAGGGGAGCGGGACAAAAAGTGTGTGTGCTGGGTGAGTGGGGTCCTTCATGACGCAGGTGGCTCTCTTCCTGCATCTGGAGGTGTAGATGTCTGTCATGGTGGCGAGGCAGACTCCAACAGTCTTCTGTGCAGCCTTCACCACTCTCTGCAAAGCTTTTCTTTCTGCACTGGTGGGCCAAACTGAGTTCACCTGTGGGCCTGATTTGGCTCCCAGGCCACCAGTTGAATAGCCCCGCTTTAACATTTGGGATTTTTTTTTTTTATTGAATTGGAATGGATTTAAGCTACAGGTCAGTGTCTCCAAATAAATTTGCAGGAAGAGTGTGTAAAAGTAATGTCATGAAGTAGGTTTAGCAAGTCTCAGACAGCTGTCCTGGCAGGTCTTACTCTTTTAGTTCGCTCTCTGATGTATGCACTTCCTTTCTTGCGCTAAAGTTAAACTGGTGAATATTTTCCATTCCAGTCAAGCCAACAAAAAGACCCATTTAAGCTTGACTGAGGGACATCTAATTATCACTGTTCTGCTAAGCAAATGTCTAAACTTACCAGTCAGTACCATGAATTCACCAAGCCAAGCCCTTCTCTTTGATGTCAATAGCCTGAGAGTGCTGAACTGGGTCTTTTCTTACAAAAATGTGTCATTGTCCAAAGTATAGTGGGATGGGAAGGACTGTCCATGCTTGACCACTCATAGGCTTGAACTGTTGAACTGTTGAGTGACTGTTAAAGTTGGCTGAGCATATTGACAACCAAAGCTGGATATATCAAGGAATGTGTTACCATGGGTGAAAAAGACAGAAAGATGGCTGATACAGCTGTCATCTTCAGTCTCATGGGAAAACCGCTGACTGACAGGAACACCATCTTTGCTCTGCGTATCTCTATACTAGCAAGCAGAAGAGCACTCATGTGGAAAAAACACCACGGAGAGAGTTTGGAAGAACATGGCAGCTGTAACCTTTGCCATGAACTCCTGCCATCCTCAGTCCCACATGACATGGCTCGGTGGCAGCGAGCAAGCCAAAGCTTTTGTGTCAGCCAAACATGGGGCCCAGAGCAGGACAGAGCTGTTTGACTTGGGTTGGAGGCAAAAGATGGAAAAATAGAGGCTGTTTTCCACCTTTGATGTGCCAGGAGTTTTTTTGTGGTGTGAGCACTCCTTGTCTAACACACTGACAGGTAAACTTGTGTTGATGAAGACAGGTCTGACATATTTCTGTGAAGATTCATTAATAATCTAGCAGTTTTACTTAACACGCAGAACATTCATGACACCACGTTGCACTGTCAGACCGTGAAGGAGCAGCAGTTGACTGAGGCTTTGAGCATCAGCGATAAAATCAGCAAGTTCCCCATCCAGACCACAGCTGAGGGACCAGCTTCTGCCAAGCATGCGCTATTGGTTCACAAGTGGCACTTAATGACTCGTCTCTCAACTTCACATTCACTTTACATTCAAGCTCAAGGGCAAAATCAAACTGTTTTTTTAAGAGGCGTAACAATTATATGTGGCAAACTGGCAGAACTGACGGCATCTCTTCAAAATGAGCATGCTCAGCTTTTTTATCATCTTTTACGGTTTGTCTCATAAGGCGTATGGCTTTTTCCTGTAGTATTCATAATGTAATAACTCATGGCCATAACTAGGCTGAGAGATAAAGGATGATAAAAAGTTTCAGTCCCAGGAACACTGGATCAGTGCTGGCATCCAATGATCTCGTTATTTCTCATTAGTCTTCTCGTGGCACCTAGATGAAGACTTTAAAGGCGGTCTTGAGGTTAATCCCACAGGGGTAATGAACCTGCTCCTCCGTATCTGTTCTTGGCACTGCTGCCTCACAGCTGATGTGGTTTGTATAGGAGCTTCTTTGGTGTCCCAGATAGTATTTTAGCTGACAGCAGGACTGGGAGGGATCAGTGTCTGTCATGGTTATCCCTATCTACCCACCTCACTCTGATGACCTCTGACAACAACATTCCCTGGCTGCATTCTGCTACCCATGGACTCTCACTTGAGTCAACCACCCATCCCTCTCACTGTGGCAATTTAAATGAACTTTTTTTACAAAGCCTGACAGCATCAAAAACTCAAACCAAGAGTGACACTTGTACAAATAAATTCTCGAGCACTGCAGCTGCTGCAACAGTACAATATTTCATACAGCTGTTGTGATATTTACAGTCAATATTAGGAACTGCACAACAACCTTGGAGCTGGAGAGTGCTGCCAGATGTTCTCAGTATCCAATTTTTTTTCTTTCCTTTTTTGTTTGTGAGCTAAACGTCTCTCAGGTGATGACAGGTCTGGTAAGTGTGACTTATGAAAGAACACATTGTGCTTTTCAGTAAGCTTTGTGATTTACTACTTACTTCCCATGTTGAATTTGTTTTATATTAAATCCAAGAATTACTGATTGTTTGATTCCGACAGGCAGCACGGTGACGCAACTGGTAGAGCTGCTGCCTCTCAGTGAGAAGGTTGCCTGTTCAAATCCCAGTCTGGGGGGCCTTTCTGGGTGGAGTTTGCATGTTCTCTCCATGCATGCATTGGTTTTCTCCGGGTACTCCAGTTTCCTCCCACAGACCAAAAACATGCATGTTAGACAGATTGGTAACTCTAAATTATCCCTAGGTGTGAATGAGAGAGTGAATGGTTGTTTGTCTCGTTTGTCTCTATGTGTCCCTGTGATGGACTGGAGACCTGTCCAGGGTGTCCTTCGCCCCTCGCACAGTGATTGCTGTACATGGGCACCAGCGACCCTTGTGACCCAAAATGGAAGAAGCGGGTAAAAGATAATGAATGGATGGATGATTCAGACAGACAGCATTGGAAAGGATGGAATGATTCTGACAACTAACATGAACTAAAATCAACATAATTTATTTGATTTTATATTTATATATATATATATATATATATATATATATATATACATATATACGCATAAATTATGCTAAAAGACATGAAATTGGCAAAGGAGGTCAGTGATTTATATCCAGTTTAGCAAGTTTTTACAGTGTGCAGCTTTATTGTAGAGTGGCTCTATCTCCAACCACGTCTTATTGGTGTGTGTGTGTGTGTTTGTGCTTACGTGTGTGTTCATGGTTTGTTTAGACTGGTCGGGAAAGCGTGAGACCAGAGTGAGTGGGCAGAGGCCATACTTTAGGGTTCAAAGTAAAGCGGGGAGGGACCCCCTCGTTTTGCAGGAATGTCGAAGAGGAGGCCTGATGGTTAGCTGGAGATGGTGTAATTAAGGGGTGTGATTGTGAGAACCTTCCCTTCCCCAGGCCCTGCAAGGGTCACAGATAAAAGAGCAGCCCTCAGCCTTTGTCGCTCTCACATGTGGAAAATCACAGTATTTCAGACAACGGGCTCAGAGATGTGTACATGCTAATGAGCGGTTGCATGTCCATGCGTGGTACAGTCAGAAGAGCAGATGACATCCTACCTGGGGAAGCCCCCCTGACAGTGGTGAAAGACAGGAGCTGCAGGTTACAGAGACGTAGGTTATTGGGCAACAGGGCCACATAGAAATTCTGAGAAGCAACATAAATTAGATAGCTGTGGGAGGCTCCTTCTAATCATGTGGGCCCGTGTGTCGCCCTGTTGGTGTGGTTGTTGTAATTTAGCTTTGCTTGACGTGCTATTTGCAGAGAGCTTGATGACACATTACCGTGCCTTTCTTTGTAAGCGTGCTGCTGGGTGACATGCTGCCGCAGCAGGGTGTGGCGTGTGAGGATAAGTGCAATGTTGTGTTTGCTGAGTAAACCGTTCTGGATTCATTTAGCAAGATGTTGTCGCCTCTGTCCTGCCTTCCAGTTACAAACCCACCTTCCCTATTCAGAGCTGAAGCCAAACAACAGAGCAGCTTAGTTCTCATGAACCATCACTTACAGTTTAATGAAAGCCTGACTTTCCAGAAAGCTTTTGGTTATGGAAAAAGGCACAGACTGGAGCAATGTGGAGTGATAAGATAGCGCTACGAACTCTATTCTTCCTTTTGCGGCACTCCACAGTTGAAAACATGTGAGCTTGTGTGTTTGCATCCACATTTTTGGATGAACCTGCTGAAAGAGGTCAGCATCATTTGATTCCTCACCATCTCTGCTGTTGTGTTCTGTTTTCACACTTGTGCTTTACTTTGAATAGTGACAGAAAAAAAAGACAGGCAGAACAAGTTCTCTGATATAAACCTGAGCCACCAAAAGAGACGATTCACAGACTATTGTCTATTTTTTCTTTCCTTTTGAGGGAAGGACACCATAATTCCTTGAACAGTCCCATTTCCAAACTCTTTAGTGTTCGATCAACTCCAGATGAGAGGCTCTCTCAGACCCCAATGACTTCTTCCTTTCTCTCTTTCATCCTCTAGGGTGCAGGATAGAGAACTGCGAGTCCTGCTTTAGCAAAGACTTCTGCACCAAGTGCAAGTCGGGTTTCTACCTACACAAAGGGCGCTGCTTTGATAAGTGCCCTGAGGGCTTTGCCCCACTGGAGGACACCATGGAGTGTGGAGGTAGGTAAAACAACAAAACATGCAATGCAACAAAACAATTTTGTTTTCTTTCTTTCATACCTTTTTACCTGTAAATAGTTATACACCCTTAGTTGGCCTGCCCCATTTGGGTTTATATACAGGCAGGACCACTCATAACAAGATCATCCCAGTAAAGCTTCAACCAGCTTGAACTGAAGTCTTAGTTTCCTCTAAAAGTTTTGTGATTTCACAATTTTGTGGTTTCATTTCACATCCATGTCTCTGTGTCCCCGTGCAGAGGGCTGTGAGGTGGGTCAGTGGAGTGAATGGGGAGCCTGCGCCAGAAGAAACAAAACCTGTGGCTATAAGTGGGGTCTGGAGACCCGAACACGGCACATTGTAAAGAAACCACCCAAGGACACAATACCCTGTCCAACCATCGCTGAGTCCAGGATGTGTAAAATGGCCATGAGACACTGCAGGAGAGGTTAGTTAATTTTGATGAAGTGTGCATTTAAAATTCTCTATCGTGGATCCTTCCATATTTAATTTAAAGTTGTCTCCATTGTGGTGCACGTTAAAGAAAACATGCCAGCAGAGAAGTTCTTGCAGAGCTTCACCTGTGCTGTGTAACCCTTGCTCCTCACACTGCGCCTTTGTGTTTTTACCATCTGTGATGCTGAGGTTCGCAGTCGTGCGTCCTCGCATGAAATATTACTGTTTTTCTAAGCTGGCCTTGTTCTAGTCAGCTTTTTTTTTTCCAGAGGTATATTTCCCACCCCTCTCTTCCACTTCCCTTCATCTCGTCTGTGGAATTCTTCAAGGTACAAACTGCAGGTTTCCTCAATGGCCGTCTCTGTTTCCTCCTGTCAGCTTGAGAGATTTTTGTGGCTCACAGAGCTTGTATGTCAGGCCATTAAATGAAAAGTCAATGGAATTTCTGTGAGTGCAAATACAGCTAAAGAAAATGTATTTTTTTCTCCAAAAAGATGGTCCAAACACATCATTTTTTATGAGGGCCTCAGTTAGCAGTGCTTTAAAACTAAATGTCTTTTGTCCTTCATGTACGTTAACGTCTCATAAACTTTGGATTATAATAAGCCAAGTGTAAATATTTATTTCACTAAATAAGAAAGCAATTACAGTGACAGATATCAGTCTGTATGTAAAAATAAATAAATAAAAATACACGGTTTAACAAAAACAAGAACACATTCTAACTTTAGGAGGTTTTCTCAATTTTTGGCTTGGAGAGCTGAATGAGGGTCACTTAGAGAAATGGTGAAAGAGTAAATAAACTTGAAATAAATCCCGACAGTTTCTCAGATTTCAGCACTAGCAGGGCAGTCACTGCTGAGTGGGTTGGAAACTGTGATTCCATGGCACATTTAGTACTTAATGCCCCGTCTTGTTTGTCAGGAAATTTCTCCCCATCAGGGGCTTTTGCATGACTGATATTGCTGCTTAGTCGTTTTATTTTTTATTTTTTATTTTTAGAAACATTATGACCCTCTTTAATTAAAAAAGTTATTGTTAGGCACAAATGCCATCATCACAGGCACAAATGTGATGATGAATAAAGTTAAAAATAATATATGGTGCTTAAGAATTTTTCCTCATTTCTTTAGAAACCATCAGCAGATTTCCAGCACTTATCTTACTTAAAACCACTTTTCCCTGGCGATGTAGGTCTAGTAAACTTCTCAGTACAGCTTCTGTTCCAGCAATTCAGTTTCATCTCTGGTGGCTACAAACCAAGGGTTAAATATGCATCTTAGCACTCTCTGGGCCCGTGAAGTGCTGTGGTGGCCCGTTTAAGAAAGGCCAATTTCATACTTGGGCATGTGTTGTTAATTCCTCATTGCTAGTGAAAATCCCCACTTGGCAAAAGCAAGCGGAAGGCAACACTCCACAGTTTAAATAAACAGAAAGAAAAAAGTGATACAATGCAGCTGAAAAGGAGGAAAAACACGCCCTCGGTGCACGAGTGTCACGTGGAAGTCAGAGGACTTCCACGATAAAATAAACGCTGTGAGTGATAATGAACTAAAAGGAGGAAAGGCCTCCACAACTAACTGAAAGTAAATGAGTAATAAATCATAGCAGGTAAATAATACAATTTCAAATGACTAGACATTGCACCAGCATCTTAACTGTTCCAAGGATTTAGGTCAATATTTTTCTAATAATTTTGCATTAGCAAAAATTTAGTTCTTTAAACAAAATACTAAAGTGGCAAATGTAGCATCCAGATGATGTCAAATAGAGAGTCATTTTCACAGCAGATATAATGGCTGGAAACAAACTGTCTGATGTGTTCAGTGCAGGTTGTACATCAGTGTACACACTACATATCTGTGACTCTGCATGGATTCATTTGGTGTTTTCTGCCAGCCAAGTCCTGATAAAGCGCACTCTTTGTCTTTGTTGAAGATTGTGATGAAACATACGATAGAATGTATTGAGAAAAAAAAAAAACTACACATTGTCAAATGCAGTTTTTCCATTCACTTGTCAGGCTAATTTAAATGTAGTTGAGGATGTTTGCAGATGACATTGCGATCTGTGGTGAGAACAGAGAACAGGTGGAAGAGAACTTGGAGAGGTGGAGGTATGCACTTGAAAGAAGAGGAATGAAAGTCAGCCGTAGTAAGACAGGGTACATGTGTGTGAATGAGAGGGAGAAGGTGTAACAGTGAGGTTACAAGGAGCAGAGGTCACAAAGGCGCATGACTTCAAGTAATTGGGGTTCAATGTCCAGGAAAATGGGGAGTGTAATAGAGAGGTGAAGAGTCCTGGCAGGATGGAGTGGATGGAGAAAAGTTTCAGGAGTGATTTGTGACAAAAAGGTGTCAGCAAAGGTGAAAGGAATAGTTTACAAGACAGTGGTGGGACCAGCTCTGTTGTATGGATTGGAGACAGAGACATGGACAAAAAGACAGGAGACAGAACTGGAAGTAGCAGAAATGAAGATGTTGAAGTTCTCCTTAGGAGGGACAAGGCTGGATAAGATCAAGAATGAGATCATCAGAGGTACAACACAGGTTGAACAACTGGGAGATAAAGTTAGAGAGGCCAGACTGAGATGGTTTGGACATGTCCAGAGGAGGGACAGTTAGTATATTGGTAGAAGGATGTTAGAAATGCAGCTGCCAGAAAAAAGACAAAGAGGAGATATATGGATGCAGTTAGAGAGGACATGGATGTAGTTGGAGTGAAGACAGAGGATGCAGAGGACAGAGTGAGATGGAGGAGGATGACTCACTGTGGAGACCCTGAAGAGAGAAAAACCTAAAGAAGAAGATGATAAGCACTGCAGTTCTTTAACTGATGTCCACGTTTTCCAAATTAGATAATAACCTGGCCTGCCTGAGTTCTTGGTAGTTGCATCATCTCCTTGAGAGCGCTGCTCTGAACAGGTTAGAACCAATAAAGAGATTTTATTATTAGCTGCTCTAGCAACACCAGCACTGATAGACTGGATGCTTCCCTCTTTGTCTCATGGGTTAAAGGAAGGAAAGTATAAATGTAGAGAGAGATAACACTGCAGCACCCGGCTGTTTAATATTGATGCCTTCAAGGGATTCCCTACAGAGATTTCCCAGCCACCCCTGTCATCAAATTCACTGGTTTGTAAAAAGATGTGTGTGACAAGTTTGGGCCAACCTTTTTTCTCTGTCCTCTCACTTACAGTATCTGTGACTTATTCACTTTCTCTTGTGCCCACAATGATACTTCAGTGATATCAAAATATGTGTTCAATAAACTAAAATGTTAAATATTTCTAATGCAATTGTTGAAATGGGATTTGGGAGTCCAGTAAAACACAGATCTAACAGTTTCAGACGGGTCGAAGCAGACACGACACATCTGTTGCTCTGCTTGTGACATAATTAGTTTTAGATGCAAGAGGAGGCCACAGTCAGCATTGAAGAAAACACATTTTTTTTCCAAGTACTGATGCAAATTTTCAAGTTTTTATATTTCTTTGTGAATAGTCTAAGGCAAAAACAACATATCACAGAACCAAAGCTATCTTATTATTTGTCATTTAAACAATTTTTAAAGTAGATTTTTGGGGGCAAAGTGAGGACATTAACTCTGCTACACCCCTTTATTTTGTGAGGAATATAAGTACAAAAAATATTTAAATGTCAAGTTAATATGGTGATTTCTTGATCACAAATTACCTTCAATTTTAAAGATTTATCACAGACTAGCTGTAGATCTACTTCTCTGTGTTTTCACTGAGCTTTAAAATGCTAGCTTTAGGCAAAAAAGCTTCAACAATCTTTTGGATTGTAATTTTTTTAAATATTTGGCTTCTAATAATGAGGTATTCACTGACAAATGGGAAATCCTTTATCCACCTTGGCAGTTGCCCCCACTTTTCATGATTTAATGTTGAAATGAAGACACTTCTGAATTGAAGATAACCAAATTTAGACCGTGGTTAAAGGCTTTTTGTTTTAATCAGTGGTGTGGTTTTTAGATCTGGGAATCTGGGGTTGTAGCCCAGATGTTTTCTGCCATAAGGAGAATTCCAGTGCTGGTGTCAAAGTAAAGCCACCACCAGAATTTACAGAAAGTAAATTAAGAATGGTTCAAGACGCTAACAACAACTCTGACTATTAAAAGACATAGAAAGACAAGTTCAAAATCCAAGCAACAAATGTGAACAAAACAATTGTGCACTACGTCCATCTTTCAGACGACTGTACGTACATGTTCTTGTTGTATCTCGGTGCAATGATAATAAAGTTTATTCAGATTCTGAATTCCCTCACAAATGCCGCCTGCTAACAAGCCGCCAACAGTTGCAGACCCATGAAATACCACCTCTAGCACTGGAAACATGATGTTTTTATGTTGCATTCCCCTCCACCAACAGATGAACAGAGGTTTTACAGCATGAAGTTACGAAACAGTAAAAATTTATAGCTTAGCAAATTTTGGAACTGATAACCCAAACACACTGAAGACCCAGCTTTCCAGAGAAGAGAAGGCCAATTTTTTAAATCCTTCTATGAATGTATTGCTGAAGCCACAAAGACACTCATAACTATGCTGACCTCATGGAAAGAGAGAGAGAGAGAGAGAAAGAGAGGAAAGAGGGAGAAGGATACAAGAGAAGAAACATCTAGTCATTATGTCGGTCATTAGATCACTTCATGTGCCTGTGCTTGAGAGAACTAGCAGACCTTTGTGGAAGTATCGATCCCTCGTGTGTAACCAGAGAAACTCCTGCTGCTGTAGCGCTCGACCGAGGCCAAGCCGTCCATCTCATCGCTCATCCGACGGCGAGCATCGAGCCAGCTCTGATTCTCTTTCTCATAACTTATCTGTGCAGTTTGTGTTTGTACTGTAACAGTGATAACTACTTTTACTCCAGCTGCCCGCTCCAATCCCACCACTATCAATTTGAAACTTTAAGAGTTCTGCTGCACGTTCTGCAGCCGGACCATAAAAATCAGAAAACCCACCTCG